CTTTTCCACGACATTCTAATTTATTGAGATGCACCTGTATTTCCTTGGCAGAGCCGTTTCTAGCCAATTTGACGCCCTAGGCGAAATCCCTGTTGCTATTCGCTTAACCCCGGGTCTTAGTCGTTCTAAACCCCGCTTTTAACCCCTGGTAGAGAAACGGTTTACACTTGCAGTTTAGAAGCCCACCGCTTTTTCCCGCGGTTATGAAAGCGTTAACCCAGCACTGCCGTGCCAAATCTGCAGTGTGAAACGATTCTGTGTTCGAATGTTGCGGCTAGATGCTTAGCAACAGAGGCCCAAAAGCGTGCCTCATATTCACGTGCTTAACCTTTGGACAGTCACAAATCCGCGTGTTGTATAAACAGTAGTTCCAGCGTTAAAGGGAAAAATGCTGACATCAATAACTTTACCTTAATAGTACGAAATGTCCATTCAGGAATAGTCCATAATAGGGTCGGCAACAACATGAGGATGCGCAAAGCTGAAGTATTTACATAAATAGGTCGCTCGCTGTCTTCGTCCAATCATTGACACTGACACAGTAAATATGCAAATAAGAACGTCAAGCGTGTATGTGTGTGTGTGTGTGTGTGTGTGTGTGTGTGTATATATATATATGTGTGTGTGTATGTATATATATATATCAGTATGTATATGTCAAGCCAATAATTCAATAAGTTATTGAATATAAAACATGAATCTAAACAAATTGTGTTCCAAATTTGAGGTTGATATCCAAAACGAGCTTTCAGTAAGGTGTTTTTGGGTGCAGTACCAAACATTCCACCAGATGAAATTTGTTTCCAATGCAGTAATTTTTTTTTTCAGCACAATTTAACCTTTTTCATTTAATGTCCATGCATTGTGTGTGTGTGTGTGTGTGTGTGCAAGTGCTAAAACCTTTACCAAGTTTCATACCATTATGATAAAGAAAAATTCTAAAAAATAAATAAATGTATAAATTTTTCTGTCAAAAATGACCAAAGAGCACTAGATGGTTAAGTATTTACAGTGTAAAACCTCAGCCTACTAATAAACATTGTTAATTATTAACCCCAGTTTGGAGTTTGCAAAGATGCATGTGTACGTGTTTGCACACAGGCTGTGGCTCTCTGTCGGTATTTGGAGAAGAACCGGGAACAGGTTGATCTGCTGGATAAAGCAGTGCTGGAACTTGGAGCGGGAACAGGACTGGTGTCCATAGTGGCAAGTTTACTGGGTACATTACATTTTTTTTTACTTTATTTGTTTGTAATTACCATTTATTTTCATTTACAAGTCTTTTACACCATTTTCACATCAAGGTGCCTGGGTCACGGCCACAGATCTGCCTGATGTCCAGTCAAATCTGAACTTTAACCTCTCGCGCAACACACCTCAGGAGGCGAACTTCCTCTGTTCTGGGGTCAGGATGTGAAACGTGACTTCCTGAGTGCCGTCTACAATTATGAATATGTGCAGATGTGATATATCATCACAACTTTCTAGACTATCTACTGATCACCATGCAGTACTTCTGCAAGCCAGGAACCACCCTACTGTGGGTAAATAAGGTCAGGCTCTATATTTTTCCATGTAACCATTCATTTTAGCTAACATGTTTTTTAAGCTTTAACAAGCTTTATGTCTTTAGGTCTGAGGTAGCCTCTTTTATAAGACCCATTGGCTGTCATCATTTCATTTCCAACAGATGCGATTCCAATCTGACCTGCGTTTCATTGAAAACTTCAAAAATGTTTTTAACGTCACATTGCTGGAAGAGATCCCACAAGAGGAGATAAGGATCTACCAGGTCACTGCAATGAATTCAGCCCAAATGAGGGAGAACCAACATGATGTGTAGCAAGAATTGTTGTATGACAGGAGATTCAATAAATGTCCAATAAATGAATCTAGCAGCCCCAACATTGAAGGGAGGGTGCTCCACCTTTTGGCCATCTGCAAAGTTACAAGGAATGATTGCGAGTGCTACTATTATAATGCAAAAATCAGGATCTCAAAAAATAGGATGACATTTGTATTTTATTTTTGGTTATTAAAAGCTTTGGAAGCTCTTTTTTGCTTCAGAGTTTTTTTTTTTCAGTAATCCAATATTGTACTACTTGTAGTTGTCACTATTTATTATTTTTTGTTAATTAAAAAAAAAAAAGGATGAAATTCTATTGCATTTGCAACGTGTTGCAAAGTGATAATTTTCTTCCTAAATCTACACTACAGTTCCAAAGCTTATCGTCAGTAAGATTTTAATGAATTTATACTTTCATAATTATATCATTTATGTTACAAAAGATTTATATTTCAAATAAATGCTGCTCTTTTGAACTTGATTCATCAAAAATATAAATAAGATATAAAAATATTAAACAGCATGACTGTTTTCAACATTAATAAGAATATTTCTTGAGCACCAAATCAGCATATTAGAATGATTTCTGAAGGATAATATGACACTGAAGACTGATTCTAATAACTAAGATACTAAAAATAGTTCACAGTATTACTGTTTCTACTTTTTTTTTTTTTTTTTAAATGCACCCTTGGGGAGCATAAAAAAAAATTCTTTCAAAAACAAAAATCTAAATTTACCGACCTCAAAATTTTGAACAGTAGTGTATTTGACCAGATGGAATAAATAACATCATATTTTAAGAAGGTACATTCATCCTCAAGAAAAGTGTGACAAACAAAAAGACATACTAACATTAGGCTGGTCTAAATGGTTACCAAGCGAAATAGACGAGCTCATGGGGACGTCACTCAGGGAATAAGATGACTTGTCTACAGCCTTTGCAAATAGCATAATAAAGAAAGATGAGAGAAAGGAGAGTCCTGAAGAAGGGCTCGACTCTGGATCACACAGGGACTGTTCGTCGTACTTGGTCAAATGACTAAAAATCTGAAATTTGCAAAACCTCTCCACTTACGGTGATAAAATACTCTCGGTGAGTAATATAATACCAAAAACATGTCAGAATAAACAAAAAATTATTTACTATAGAAATGTCCATGACTTTTCCAGGTCTCGAAATTACAGCTTTAAATTTCCTTAATATTTAAGTTTTCACCATTTTTACCGTTAACTTCAATGGTTATGTGGTGTGGCAAGTGAATCCTAAAAGCACAAATATTCTCAATTAAAAATCTGTACAAACAGTCTCTCAAATAGTATCATACAGGTCATACAAATAAAGAATTAAATGTCAACTTCCTGAATGCAAATCTAAATCACACTAGGCACATACATAAAATAAAGTTTATTGAAATTAGTAGTATTACATTAGTGTCGCAAATAAACACAATGACTTTGAATTCTTAAAACATTCTTTATATTTAAATTTGAAACTTATATTAGATTACAGAAAAGTTACTTTGAGGAGTCAGTACAGTATTCAGTTGTTTTTTTTGTTGTTTTTTTAAAGGAACTTTTCAAAGGGAAAATCGATAGAGACCTAAAGTCCATATCTTTTTAATACACAACAATAATCTTACACGCTTCAAGGTATTACTGACGCAGAAAGAGCACACTAGAAACAAATTTTGATATGTGGTTAAGAAACAAAGCATTTTTATATTCCTATAACTGCTTTAAGGTACTGAAGTTTCTCAGATGTCCTCCAGTGTCTCTAGGACAGGTTGGCCTATGAAGCTCCAAAACCAAAAGAGAACAAACAAAACAAAAAAAGACTGACTTCTCAGAGTCCTCCAAAAAAGCAGCACTCTGCAGAACGCCAAGGAGCTGAACACACACGGGAGGAGATTCTACAAAAAAAGCCTGCAAGAAATCATCAGGTCAGCATATGAAAAGAGTCCACACATCCAAAGACCTGCCCTGCATGGGGCAAAAAATAGCAACCAGCTTTATAGGTTCTTCGATTCATTAGTCTCCGAATCATCAGAATGCAAATCAAGCCAGCCATTCAAAAAAAAAAAAAAGAAAAAAAGATCATTCAAAAACGGAAGAGAACTACTTCACACAGAGATCACACAACATTTTCCAACAGCACGCAAGGCTGATGTTTTCTTCAGGAGGGAACGTTCCAGAGGGTCACGCAGATCAGAGCGGATAACATCCAGTAGGAACACTGCGACAGAAAATAAAGTGACACCTCTAAACTTCAGCAAAGTCCTTCAGCTGAAAACTATAATTCCCAGCAGGCAAAGCGCACAGCCTGTGATGAAGTGGCTTGTCCTGAGCTCAGAAAGACGAGGATGAAAACAACTCATCCTATTAAAGCCTGTGTTCTTCAATGCCCTTCTCAGACAGAGAGTGAAAGAAACGGTGAGTTGCAGAAGAGGAAAAAGAACGATGTGGTTGATCAATCCTCAGATATGGCAGCTGGAAGAACTTGTGCACGATGGACAGGCTGAACAAGAACTGGGCTTAGTCCTCGTCATCGTTTTCGTCAAATTCATCATCATCGTCATCGCCCATGTAAGAGACGGGAGTCTCCACCCGAGAGCCGCTGTAGTGGGAGTCATTTGAACTAGAGGCCATCGTGCCGTCTGCCCCACCGTCACTGTAACAGAAACAGAGGAAAGAGAAACATGCTGAAATACAAGACACATACTATTCATTTTTTTTATTTACCTGTCATTCCAAAAGAAAGTATGACTTACTTTCTTTGTTGGAACACAAAAGGAGAAATTTAGCTAAATGTTGCCACTCTTTTACATATAAAGAATTTGAATGGGGAAAGACACTATCATACTTAAAAAATGAAATGGCACATAACCAGTCCATAGGGCATGCATGCTATATTTCAAGTCTTTTGAGAGTTTTGTTGCCAAAAAATGTATTATTCACTGAAATTCTTTCCCTCCACCTCACACAAAGTTATCAGATGGCTTCATAAGACTACTTTTATGGTACCATAACATTTTTGGAGTTTCAAAGTGTCTGTCTCAATTCACTAGTGTTGTATGAAAAAAAAGAGCTGCATGAATATTCTGCATAATACCTTTCGTGTAAAAAAAAAAATCCAGTTTTGGAACAACATGAAAAATTAAAATTTTTAAGTTTGGGTGAAGTATTTCTTGAAAATCTCTGCCTTTCTCACACAGAACAATCTCCTCGACAGCAACCAGTCTGGTTTCAGAAGTGGACATTTGACCGAGACCGCCTTGCTTTCAGTTGTTGAAGCCCTAAGACTGGCAAGAGCGGCTTCCAAATCTTCTATACTTATTTTGCTGGATCTGATATATATATATATATATATAGTATTTATAAAGTTTTAGCTTTTAGTTTTAATTACTTTTTCTTATTTGTAAGTTGCTTTGGATAAAAGCGTCTGCTAAATGACTAAAAGTCATTTACCATTATACCTTGCTATGTGTAGTGCGTTAGGCTAACCAAGACTTGTCATTTGCACTTATATATTGTTGCTCTTTTGTTAGTTTTGACTGCTTTTATTGTCCTCATTTGTAAGTCACTTTGGATACAAGCGTCTGCTAAATCACTAAATGTAAATGTAAATGTAAATAATAAAAAAAAAACTTGCTACGTGTACTGCGTTAAGCTAACTGAGACTTGTTATAGCACTTGCATATCATTGCTCTTTTGTTGATTTTGATTGCTTCCATTGTCCTCATTTGTAAGTCGCTTTGGATAAAAGAATCTGCTAAATGACTAAATGTAAATGTAAAATAAAACACCACATATAAAGCTCAAAAAGTTAGAAGAGTGGTATTATCACCATTTTCCACTCACTGTCAAAAAGCAATATGAAAACTATATTTATCATAACTTCTAAAAAAGTTAGTCATAATTTAATTCAACTCAACTTGCTTTGAAGGAAAGTTACTTATGGGAATGTCAAAGCAGCCCAGGTTATGGTCCAAGGTCAAATGGGTATAGCTGCATTTATTTGATCAAAAACACAGTAAAACAGTAATATTGTGAAATATTACTATTTAAAACAAATGCTCGCAATTTTAATATATATTTTTAAAGGGGACATCGGATGCCCATTTTCCACAAGTTGGTATGATTCTTTAGGGTCTTCATGAAATGTCTAACATACTTTGGTTAAAATTCCTCAATGGTCGTGTAAAACAACACCCTTTTTACCTTGTCAAAAACAGCTGTTCACAGAGACCCATTTCGGTGCATGTCTCTTTAAATGATAATGAGCTACTGCTCACCCCACCCTCCTCTTCCGTTTGTGTATTCCGTTGCGCGTTTCCAAAAAAAAAAAATCAAAAAAAATCAAAAACAAAATTAATCCACTGTGTCCTCAGTGGCTCTGATGTCGGGAGAAAATGTCGACTCTTATGTTCACTTTTACATCCTACTCCAAAACACCTGCATTATGATTGTAGGGTGGTTGTGTCCACACACTGTTAAGACACATTTATATGCAAACACCATGTAAAAGTGAATTTTGCATCCGATGTCCCCTTTAAAATGCAATTTTTTCCTGTGATGCAAAACTGAATTTTCAGTGGCAATTTTTCCAGTCTTCGGTGCCACATGATCCTTCAGAAAACATTATAATATGCTGATTTGCTGCTCAAAAAACATTTCCTATCATCATTGTTGAAAATGGAGGAAAACCTTTATTATTTCCAGGATTCTCTGATAAATAAAAAGTTTGAAAGAACAGAATTTATTCAAAATAGAAATATTTTATAACAATTTAAATCTTTACTGTCGCTTTTGATCCATTTAATGCACCTAATTTTTGAATAGTAGTAGTATGACTAGGAACTATCATAGTGTAACCTGATTCAATAGCTACTCGTTTACAACTCCATTAATTTTATTAATGAACAACTGAAAGGTGTACAACAGAAACTCACCTCCCAACAAGATAGCGGCCTCCATTAGCAGACGAAGCCCCTGTCATGTAGACATTACTGATAGGTCCCTGTGCCATTTCTGCATGCAAAAATAATCATCAAATTAAACATTTGATCTTTACAGCCACAAAACTTCAGATATATACTCTGATGTGGTCGCCAGCTGGTACTAACCTGTGACATAGGGCTCCAGTGCTTTGGGCACCAAGCTTCTGGCAGTCTTCAGGTCCTCAGCAGAGCACTTGCCCACCTCGAGACCACAAGCCATGCCCATGCGCTTCAACACCTCTATGTCATCATGAATCTCAAACATGCTATCGAAGTTGAAGAGGTACTCAAACCTGATCACAAACAAGTAATGAGAAAAGCTGTGTCATGCCACCAACAGCCTAAATGGTCTGGCTTTTGATATCATACTTGTCATTGGAGATGCTGCAGTCAATGACTGTTTTCTTGCTGGTGTTTACGATAATAAATGGCAAGCGAATGACCGAGTTGGCAAGTGGGGGCCTTTTCGTCTGTTGTTCTCTCTGGCGGTTCCGCTGTACAAGCTTCTTGAAGGCAATTTGCTGCAATCGAAACTTTTTTTAAAACAAGTTCATCACCAAATAATTCTTATAAGAGCGGCTTCTGACCTGTAAAATTAGTTCTTGAAGTTGCGACTGTTTTTGTTTGATTCTCTCCAAACGTCTTTGCCTCTCCACCTTAAAACACAATCAGTTAAACACAAGTAGTTGCTCTACTAATTGTCTAACAGAAAACTAAAACGTTCATGAAATAAAGGATCAGTACACCCACCTCCAGGTTCTGGCACTCCTGAGCAGAATTTGTAGGCAGGCCAATCCATTTGATCTCTTTCTTCTCTTTGGAGATGATGTTCATGGCCATCAGCACATTGAGTGCATCGTACACACGCCGTCGAATGTTCTTCTGGTCATACACATGCTGAATAGGGACAAACAAAGAAAGTGAAGCACTATTCATTTTAAGATACATGTGAATGATCAACTCTGTAATCAGTTTAAAGAGCTACACTTCTTCTCTACTCAACAAACAAAGCTCTGGATCAATGCCTAGCCACAGGAAGAGGCTTACCGCATCATTAGGGGAGATATGATTATCACCAGAGCTGAATTCAGCCACAAGCTCATCAGCAACCTCGTTGTAGGTTGTGACACCCTTCCGCTGGACCTTTTCGCAAACCTTCATCGAGAAATGTCTGAGGCCTTTCCCGTTCTTCTCCCCCTTCTTACCCCTCTTTCTGAGGAGAGAACAAAAACCCAAATTATTGCACGATATTTAACACTATGATAGATGACAGAAAAAGGAAGACCAAAAGAAATGTTTTGCTGCTGCTTTGTAGGAATTTTCCTAATTGTCCTTAAAGTTATATAGTGCTACCTTGGTACTTCTTGAAAGAAAACAAAATTGGTATCTGCTAGGGATGTTCATTTCGGTAATTTTTCCTAACCGACAACCGAAGCTCATTAACCGATTATTAATCAACAAGACTATTTTAAATTCTAATTTAATTAAATTAGAAAGGATAAGTGTCTGTGACCCCTTTAAAAATACTAACATTTGTTTCCCGGGGATTAATTTTACATGCGCAAAAAGCAGCAAACAACAGAACATGAGGATTCACATGGTCTTCATATCACATCACGCACCTGCAGTGCTTCTGCGGAGAAAAACATAATAAAGCTAGGCTATAGGCCTATATATAAAACGATAAATAGGTCTATACGAGAAATATATTTTTACTTAATAAATTAAGAAAACGAAAGAAAAACTGTGCAACAAGTAGCCTAGTATTCAGAGTTTCAGTTCATTTTTGTGCTGCGTAAAAGGAAACCAGACGGCAGAAAGTGGCATCCTATTTTTCTTTAGGCTTATTTTACAAACGCACAAAGATTTGTTTTTATTGTGAATGTACACAAATAAATATTTAGAATAGTTTTGAATAATGTCTTACTCTCATATGACCACAAATGAAGGAGTAGTAACACCATGTCTACACCGGACGCGACAGTTGCTGCGCCGCTCTGGTCTGGTTTAGACGGTGTAAGTTGTTTCAACTTTTAAAAGGAAAAAACAAGTGATCGTGCCAGCGCCTCACTCACGCAGTTAAGCGTTACTAACTGGACAACGCAGCCTGTTCATTGTCATAATAAAATACAGTCAATCAAACATATGGGAAAAAAAACTATTTAGTAAAAAAAAAATATGTAGTAAAATCTGTGCTGTTAAGTGTTATCACAGTAGACAGTAGCCTACCGCCGTGATGTTATGCAAAACATTTTGTTTTACTTGGATATTGGAACGAGTAGGCCTATACGAGAAATATATTTTTACTTAAATAATAAATTAAGAAAACAAAAGAAAAACTGTGCAACAAGTAGCCTAGTATGCAGAGTTTCAGTTCATATTTATGCTGCGCTAAAGGAAACAGACGGCAGAAAGCGGCATCCTATTTTTCTTTAGGCTTATTTTACAAAAGCACAAAGATTTGTTTTTATTGTGAATGTACACAAATAAAGGCAAACTTTTTACAATTCCGATTATCTTTATGACTAAAAGGAGTAGTTTCTTCCTCTGTTACAAGGACAAAGTTCAAGTGATTGTGCCGGCGCCGCATGCGCACACACAGTTAAGCATTGCTACCTTGACAATGCAGCCAGTTCATTATCATAATAAAATACAGTCAGTCAAACATATGGGGAAAAAAAAAAAACATACTGCTCAGTTTAAATATGTAGTAAAATCTGTGCCTTTAAGCGTTATCACCGTACCGCCGTGAATGATGTTATGCAAACCATTTTGCTTTACGTGGATATTGGAACGCGAGTGAAGTAGGCTACATAATAAATAATATTTTGGCATTCAAATACATCGCGAACACGGAAACATTTGATTTTGTGTCGAATGAGAGACACAACGTTGGTTTCAGTTTCGTTTTAACCTAAATTAATTTGTTTTGGCTTGTCGTTTAGCTATAGCTTCTTATATTTTTAATTCTTGTTCTTTTCTAAATACTGTTAATTGAAAGGCTTTGTTGTAGAGTGAGGAGAACTAAAATAGCCTAGCTATGTTTACAGTGTTTATTATAATGTTTGTAAACATTTCATGTCGGCACAGGGTTTCTAGAGACATGAACAAGTTAAATTTAAGACTTTAAGACCTTTTTAATACCATCTTATATGAAATTTAAGACCTAAACCTGTAATGGAAATACACATTTTATTACATATATGTAATATTTAATGTGTTTAAATTAAAAAGAAAACAAAATATCATTGCTGTAATAAATGATATTTATTACGACGATATACAGTGAACTTTTCATGTCAGCAGACAATATTCCATACAAGATATCCCCGCAAAATAACTGCATCACTGAGGTTTTTGGTGGAGTAAACAATTTATTCTGAAGCAATATTTTCATCAGTGTTCCATCAACTTTTACATACTTAAATCTGCATATTTTTAATTTTCATTTACAAAGGCCTATTTTTAAACTTTTTAGATGTATGCATCATCTTACATGTCAAATTATTACAATTTATCAATAAATTCAATATACACTATAGGGCTGCTACCAGTCAGATTAAATAATTTACACTGCAAA